AATAAAAGAAAATGCCCTCAGCTGCGAGCCTAGTAGGCAATAAAATAGTCAGCTGACCAAATTCACTGGAGGCAAATCATCATGTTAAATCGTAGTTATCATTGGGTACCCAAGATTCCGTATTGTAGAACTGCTTTCTCTTCGGGATATTTGGTCATGCCTCCTATCTAAAACGGTTGTGAAGAGAGAACCCCAGAAGAGACGCAAAGAGTACGTGAGGACGTCCCTGATGTCGAAAACATGCACAAACTCTGCTATGTCGTACTTTAATGCACATAACAAACTTGCTAATTCTTTATATACACATATATGAACGGTCATAAGCAAAATACAAACCTGGGCAGGAGGATATAATGCTCAAAAAAGCTTCAAAAGTGATGTCAAAATAACGGCAATTCATGTAGAGCTCTGCTTGCAAAGGTCATCAAAGGACTTCGTCTTCTCTAACATGGTCGCATTATCCCAAATCACTTTACCTTTCAACTCATTTGAGCAAGCGCCAACAATCATGGCCTGCAAGAAAATAAGAACCATAATAGGAGGTAGATCTTCTAAGAAACAGAAGATCAAAAACTTTGAAAAAATGCTTACCTTAGCAACATCCTCTGTAGAGATGGCGACAGAGTTCGAAAAAAGCTTTACTGGCTTTATTGCAAGCTTTGCAATGGATTCGAGTAGTCGAGATTCTGAATATGTGTTAGATGAAGAAAGATTTATGATCCAAACAACACATTATTACCTTCTCTTGGGCCTTCCAGTAAGCCAGGGTGCATGATGAGGAATTTATCAAATCCCAGAGCATCGACATCCCGCTCAGTTTCGCCCTAAAATGATTGTTGGAGAACCAAGGAAATAATTGCAAAATGACCCAAAAAACCTATCTACGCAAGACCCAACATGGATAATAAATCCGGAGAACTATCACCATGGAAATTATATAATTCTCATACCACTTACTTTTGTCTTCGGATATAAGAAGAATGAACTTTCATTTGCGCCAGCAGAAGAGACAAGCACAAACTCCTTCACACCTTAATTGAAAAATCAGCCACAGAAAAGTTTAAAAACTAGAACGAAAAAGAGACAATACCTTGCTCTTTAGCTACCCTTGCTGAGTTAACAACATAGTCATGATCGACCTTGTAGAAGCCTTCCTGGGACACAATTATTGTTTTGAATCGTTTAGAAAAGATAAGCAGATAAACGTAACGACAGAAAAAAACGAGATCAAACGACCTTTGTACTGACCTTACCGGCTTTACCTCTAGTCGTACCTAGAGCGCAAAAGCCAACGTCCACATCCTTGAAGGCATCCGAATGCTTTTCGATTTCATCGAAGTTGACAATAACTTGTTCCTAATATAGCGATATGAAGAAGGGCATTTCGAATAAATAAACAAAAAATATGAACAGACTTCCTCACTATGGACTCATTATCCTGAGGGATTTTTCTTCTTCCGATGATGACAATTTTCTTGAACTGTTTGGACTTCAGCAGAGCTTCTACTAACTGCGTACCAACAGCTCCCGTGGCTCCCAAGACAAAGGCGGTTCTCAGCATAACTGTAAAGTCTGAATTGAACTTGTGATAACTAAACACATTATGTAAACCAGCGCTAGGTCATGATATAATTGCCGAGATGTTGTTGTTGAAAATGACTTGGTAAACACCTTATCTTAATTGGCGCGTTTCGAATTGTGGCGGTATGCAATACAGAACGCAGTATTTGTCGACTACTTCACACGAAAGGACAGATCTTCAAGTTCGGAGCATTGCTAAATACAGGTCTAAAATGTAGTAGTAAAGCCTAACATTTGTTTAATTTCGATGACTTCCTCTATCAACAGAGCAAAGTTGAGCGTTTCTCA